AAACTCCTACTTAACATGTGTCATAAACTTTGTTCTTCAATCCGGAAAATCCAAAAAATATTCAATTTTTAGCTTCATTCACGGATAGCCTTTGACAAAAATTTCTCATAAATTGGTAGAAATTGACAATTTCAAAATTCTGCAGTGACCCGTTGCGTCCAAAACAGCAAAATAAACTCTCTCCTTTTTCAAATATGGGTATAAAGCGTTAATTTGCAGAAACTGCAGGGGCCTGAAATGCACTTTCTTCAATATTCAACAAAAACAGTCCTTTTTCGAATTTGGGTATGAGCCGCCAAACATTCGAAACCTCAGGGACTATTTTCAACAATTATTCTCTTTGTTCTCAAATCATATGAAGAATCACCCCAAACATACGAAGCTTCAAAATTTTTTGAATTTCAGTGAAAAGTGTCAAACACTCGAAACTTGAATTAATTTTCGAAATGTCACATATTCGAAGGTATAGGGGTCGAATTAAAAAAAATTTCATTTGCCTTCAATTTATACGAAATGTTGAAGAAGCATACAAAACTTTGGCTAATTCATACAAAAGTTGAGGGACCATTTTCGAAAATTCGCCTTCTTCTTCAATTCGTACGAATCCAACCTTTATCTTTCATATGAAATCCCAAACACCCCTTCATATAAGTGAACACAATTTTATCTTTGTACAAACCCCCTTCATATATTTCCCAAATAAACACCCCTTCTTATAAAACCAAAACACCGCCTTCGTATATATTCCAAACAACCCTTCGTTCAAAATCGAAAATACCTTCGATCATTCCAACACAGTCATTATTCGTTCAAACCAAAAACCATCCTTCGTTCTTAAAGTCACAACCCATTTGATTCATTCAATAACCCTTCATTTTTCATGAAATTGAACATGACATCGAATTCTCAACTTCATTCTCTTTTCACAGTTCAACCTAAAACGAACACACATCGACTTCCAAACCATTGATTCCTTCGTTCTTCATTACTCAGCAACAATTCTGAAAATCAACGATTCTTGACCTAACTCACGATTGATTCCAAATTAACGAGCACAGACTCCAATCTTTTGAAATCAACAATCAAATCTCTTCATCTGTTTGTTCCTAATCAAGCAACAAAACTCAGCCTCAACATCGTATCTTTCGTTATCAAGAACAAGATCCATTCAATCTTCAAAATTAAATCCCAGTTTGAACTTGATTTTGACACACCAAACCTCGAAACATCATGTATCAATCTATTTCATCATACGATTCACTGATTTATCTCTTAAATTTCAACTTTTTCTTAGTTTGACTTTTTAAAGTCAACGAACCATAAACACGAAATCGATGATTATGAAGTCCGATTTCAGATCAAACACACTATTCAAACTGTTGTTCATTGTTGTTCATAATGTTCTTGAATTTTAGTTGAGATTTCATCAACGAACTCACATTGGCTCAAGACCACATATTAATCGATATGTAATTGTATCTCAAATTTACATTATCGATCAACAATAAAGGATTAGTAGAAACGAACATATGAAATCGGAACACAATAAAACAAGACTAAAGAACAATCAATCAAGAACTGAGATATAATTCTCTGATGGTACACCTGGGTAAGTACGCATACAATTCGATCTTGGAACAGTGTAATTAGGATAATCTCAATTGATCAATTGATGACTTTCGGGCTTCAATCAACTATATCAGATCAAAACAAATGTATGGGCTCAAAATTGATGAACAGTAACAAATTAAGAATATTGGGCTCAATGATGGAGGATAAACTGTAATCAGTCAGAATATTAGGCTCAAATGTGATCAGTGAACAGTAATTACTTAGGATGAAGAGATAATGTCTGGAGCCATCATGTCAGCATCGTTTCGTTGATGATTCTAGGACGTAATCATCCTAAGGGGGAGATAATTGTAACGTCCGTAGATCCGGGCTAGTCAATTTAGAAATAATAGGGGTCTAAAACGACTTTTCGACAAAAGATTATTTAGAATAAATAATTTTAACCAAGTTGTAGAGTATGTCTGAAGGGTTCCGTGCATATAAAGAGCACCAAAATTCGAGTTATAACGAAGAAGTTATGGTCCGTCGAAGTTTCACGACAGAATCGGCACGACACTGGGGAGACGCAACTAGTGAATTTATGGTAGAGAAAATTTTAGCCTTACTGATCTAAATGAAAGTCATAGAATATGTTAGCTTGAGAGCGTCCAAAAAAAGAACGCCCAAATCTGACTTTGCATGAGGAAGTTATGATTGTTTTTATAAGATTTGGCTTAGTAGTGCACGGCCAGAAACTCGAATTTTAGTTCGAGTTGTTTTTAGCTTATGCGACCTAAATGTGAGTTAAAGATCTCATTAATAGGAACTCAACGGTAAAAAGACAGACGAAAACGGAGTCTTATGAAGGAGTTACGATTTTTTCACAGTTATTTAACAGTCTAATATTCTTGTACTGCTAAATTTAAGATCGGTCGATAATTAGCCGACGAAGTCAAAATGTAAGTTGTAGATCTTATTTTTATCTATGTGTGGATATAAAGAACGTCAAAAACGGAGCTCGTATGAGAAATTTATGGATTTTAGAAGTCGGAAGTGTGATGTGCAGAAATAGGTGACGTGGCACAATCTTTGTCATTGCTTTGTCCCCAAGTCTTGCCACCAGATGGTGACATGTGGCTCCAAGCTCAGCCATATTTTACCCTATAAATAGAACCTCTCTCACCCTCATTTTCTTAACACATTTCCCATTCTTTCTTCTCTTTACTCTCTCTCTCTCTCTCGCGCGCGCGCGCGCCCCGAAACCCACTAAAAAGCCTAGGGAACCTCCCTTACATGAGGCGGAAGCCCCGAAGTGCTCGGCGGCTCTGAGAAAAAGATATTTTTCGGCTCGGGAATGCTGCTCCAAGCAAAGCCCGGTTTTCTATAAAACCCGTTGTAAGTGAGCTAGAGCTACGCTATTTTTAATATAGCTTTTATTTAATTATAGTAACGTTATTACAAACTTATAATAAGTACTTAGGGCTATTATTATGGGTTATATAAGTATTGTTTAACGCTTATATAATAGTAATAATAGCTAGACTATTAATTACTCTCAGCGAATAATAAACTAAGCTCTAGTGACAATAATTCTAGGTTTCATCGAAGGAAATTATTTTTAAGAAGCGAAGCGCTGTCTGAGTTCGGAATCACCACATTTTCAAGTGAGTGCATAGTTACTTTCATCTTACACATATATATGAAGTATTTTCTATAAATTATGTGCTATGTGTGCATATTATTTGAATACTTGTTGTCTATGTTGGATGAACGATTTTATACATGTTTTACAAGATTTAAATGGCATATTTATTTTATATCTACAAATATGTTGCGGATAAAACATGGGTATATGAAATAGTTGGTGTGTAGGATGAAAGGTGATGACAATTAGGTAAAATAGATGATGATGAATATGTGATGTAGGATGAAAGGAAGTATCATAACCTTAACCGGCAATGTGGCGATGTAGTCATCTACTAGAGTATAGATGGCGACCACGGATTATTCTAGACAACCCCGTGGAAACACCAGCAGGCCCATAACCTATAGGTGATGAATTACAAGTTCAGGCGATGTTGTAACTACGTATTCATCCGATGATACTCTAACCCCTTACTATGAATTACGAGTTCAGGCGATGTTGTAACTACGTATTCATGCGATGATGCCCTAACCCTTGTCGGGCACGTATTGAATCCCTGAATCAATATTATCTATAGGATCTAGACGATGTTCCTTAGGGAGAGTCCTTAGGAACAAACATATAAGGAAATGCGATTTAAGGAGATGAGAGGTAAATATGATGTAGGAGACGATCCTTGGGATAAATCCTTAGGGAAGGTACTTAGGAATAAAGAAGATAATGGGGATGAGTAATTGGGTTAATTGTTTGATGATTAAACATAATAATTATATTATTGTGCGTTGAAAACCTTATGTACTCACCAGGTTTCCCAACCTGACCCACTCAATTTACAGGTGGCGATGTGAAGTTACATTACATTGAGAGATTAAGGAGATATAGATTACTAGTATAAATGAATATAAGTTATGTTTATGCTTATGTTTCTGTATTGACGATGACATCCCAAATGTTTTAAAATGAATAAAAATATATTTCTTCGGAAACGCTTTGATAACTATCATGTTTTTCTGGGAACAAATTCCGCAACGTTTTTATTAAAAGAGATACCTGATTTTTATAAAGCATAAACAAAATCGTTCTTTTCTGGCCGTGAAAATGAGGATGTCACACATAGAGACACTCAATTTCAAAGAAAATGGTAACAATTGTAGAGTTTTATTGTGCAAGTGAGTAGTCATAGTGATCTCGGTTGTAGGCAAACACATATCCCCTATCAGCCTGTAACCATCTACGATAGTGTAGCGGTGCCATGAATGTCTTCTTTAATTGATGGCAAGTTCAAGATAGACCGGTGAAAGATCGATAATCACAAAGATTCATAATAGTTCACAAACTTAAATCAAGTAATTAAACACCATAATTAACCTAAAACTTAGTCAATCATCAATTGGTCTTCAAAAGACGAATAATCAAGTATCAAAAGATTCCAATCAATTACCAATGACAAATCGAAAAACGGTTCAAAGTATTAAATTCATGGATAACATAAACCCAACCAAATTATACATTATTAGAGTTAAAACTTACCTTAATCATGTTCTTAGGGGTGGTGGAGGGATATCAGCTGCCCGAATCCCCGAAATATAAGCAGAAGGCACAAAGTATTAAATTCGTGAATAACATAAACCCAGCCAAATTATAAATTTTTAGAGTTAAAACTTACCTTAATCGTGTTCTTAGGTGTGGTGGAGGGATATCAACTACCCGGATCCCCGAAATATAAGCAGAAGGCAGAAAGAAGAAGAGACCCAAGGGAAAACAATCACTTGAAAGAGATAAAAATATAAAAGGTTTACGCAAAATGGCTGCCCATGGAGAAGAGCTCATTGGAAGCCGACGAATTGTTTTTCAGTTGACGGAAATTCGAAGAGGCAAAAAAGCGATTAATAAGGTATAAAATGAAGAAGTAAAAGATAGAAGATATTGAAGCTAATGGCGGTGGCGGTGGAAAAGAGGTTAAAAGCTATCCAGTAGTTGAGACGGTGGACTAACTTAGGTATTGTTAAATAACTAGATGAACAATTCATAAAATAGTGTCTTCAATTATTCGATCACAAAGAGGAGGGAACCAAAGGAATAAGCTAGTAGGTGTATGTAGGACATGACACGTGAATCATAGGTGATAGGACACAAGGAATATTGTATGGTTTAATCTTACAAACTTCCTATATAACCCAAGAAAAGTAATCGGCCCATAGGGACAAATCTTCTTTATATATAAGACGCCTTTCACACATACTCTTTATCAAGATCGACCTCTCTACAGTGTGGAGTATTGACGATGGCTCAACCCAAAAATGCACCTTCATCCTCTCTGGTATCTGTGATAGGGTCTCACTTCATGGCACCACATCAACTCGATATTATAGTTGATAGAATTTCAAGCGGAATCCTTTTGATTTCAGATATTAACCATAAAATCATGTTCAAAGTGAAACCATGCGACTCATTCCTTCATGAGCAGCGAGTACTACTCGATGATGATGACCAACCCATCGTTGTAATGCCCGATAAGGCGACTTTATTAAGTTTAACTTTTAATATATATATTTTTTAATACTTTGGATTGTTTTGAAAATTTGATGCTACATTTAACATTTAAATGGATTGATTTATTTTCCAGAGCATTAGTGCACACGATGGATGGTATGCATTCAGGGGTGACAGTGAAAGCAAATCGGATATGATATTTACCACAAAAAAACCTTGCGTGATCCAGCTGTTTAAGAGTGGTGTAAATGTGTTCTTGGCAAACAAAACCAGTAATAAAAATGTTTGTGATTTCAAGGTCGAAGGAAGCTGGTCGAAGAGAAACTGCACTATTTATATGGGAGATACTTCAACCACAATAGCCCAAGTAATTTAATTTTCAAACCTTTTTTAGCTGGTTTTCTAGTAGAGTTCCATGTTTTCAGTTATGTCTGTATAACTCAAAACATTCTGTAAATAACTTAAAGCTCAATCTTAAACTTACTAATGACATATTTATTCCTGTAGATGTCCAAAATACAGTCATCCGAGAATATTGTAAAGTTCGTTAATGACAAATGCAAGGTGACCATTTCTCCCAATGTGGACTTTGCGTTTGTGATCACAATGATAGCAATTGTTGAGGCTATGGAAAACTCTGACACAAAAAGTAAAGGTGTTGTGCAAGTTCTTGGAGGTGTGACTAAAGTTGTTGGCCCAATACTCCTTTCATAGTCATAGTCATATTAGTTGCATTCTCTACTCCTAAATTTTTCCATGGATCAACGGGTTTATATATGGCTTATCCGGCAATTCATATCATCTTTTCACATCGTCATGGATATGGTATGATTACCATGATAGGCTCAAATTATGGTTCCTTAATTGTGTTAATTAGAAGTAATTAAGTTATAATCTCGACATGTTAATTAGTTGTATTCTAGTGCCGAAGAATAAATGCTGCTTAGGAAATTATTTTGAAGTTTGTGTGACTATTAAGAAGTGGTATTCAAAACTATCAAACACTGTAATAAAAATATCTAGCAATAGTCCAGATGTGTGTGTTCAGCTCTTTAATAAGTACGATGTTATATTAAACAATATTTTTCAGCAATTCTTTCTATGTATTGTTTTAAGTCCTTACCGTCCACTTTGATTATTAAGCATTTTGTTGATGTAGATGTGTATTTCATAAATGGGTCTCATGGTTTTATTATTTTAGTATCTATATTTCATATTTAAAATTATAAAACAAAAACAAAGAATGTTTATAAAACCAAAAACATATTTAATATTTGTCGTGTTTTATAAAACTAAAACTAAAATTTATGATAAAAAGGCTTAGTAAAATTGTTTCAATATTGATTTTATTCTACACGTATCAATTAGCTCTTATTTTATTGCGTAATTTCTTTTTTATATTTCTAGGTTAATATAAAAAAAATTATTAGTATGACAAAATATTTAAACATAATACATAATACTATAAATTTGAAATAAAATAGAAGACATAAATGAAAATATTTATTAAATGTTGGCCCATGATGTCAATATTTGTAAGAAACCCATGGTTACTGTACCCCTTTAGTCCTAAATTGTATAATTCACATAAATGTTGGGGCCTCTATATGAAATACACATCTACTAGCTGGGAAGGGTATCGGGTTTAATACCCATGTGGAGTCAAAGGTCGAGAGTTCTATCCCTGCAAAACCTATGTAACGCCTCATTCATGGTATGTAATTTTAATTATTTTATTTTCCATTTTATAAGGGCTACTCGATGAGTCAGTAGCCCTAACTCGTCGAGTAGATACGAGACAACACACGGAGATTAGTATGACAACTCGACATGTCAATATTCCCGACTCGGCAAGTCAACCAGGCTGGATGAAACCCTAATCTTTAGGGTTTGTACCCTATTTAAACGTCATTATAGCCCCCCACTCCAGCCTCCATCACTTCCAGAGCACCTTCTTCGAAACCCTAACCATCCATTAGTGAGCTTGAGTGATTTCTTGTCAATTTGAAGTGAGTTTGTGCATTTTGGAGCTTGTAGAAGAAGAAGAAGCTAGAAGGTTCAAAGCAGAAGAAGAAGATCCATGAGCAACACCTCATTTACTACATCTTCTGGTAATCAAGCCTCAAACTTGATCATTCCCTTATTAGATCTTCATCTATGCTTGTTTTTGTCACTTTTGGGTCATTTCAAGGATAACCCCGAGAATTGGAGCTCTCATGGGGTTATGGACTTCAGATCTGGACACCCTTGAGCTCCAGGAGCTCAAGGTAGCCACCTTTATTCAACAAAGGCCCTATCCCAAACCATAGGTCTCCATTTCTAGCCTAGTTTGATGTTTTAGCTTCATATCACTATGTATGCACGTAAAGTTGGCAAGTTTACGTGTTATGCAAGCCTTAGAAGTCCAGATCTATGAATTGGATGCATTGAAATCGTTTGAAATCAACTGTATGGTGATGGCATGTAAAGGATTCGACGAGTCGCTCACCTTTCTCGGCGAGTCGGGTCGCGAACGCTTTATACTTGGCACTTTTATAACTTAGGTTTGATAAGTTATGTAGACAAACAAATATTTTTTACGTGTGTGGGATTACAAGTGTAAAACCTATTATACGTGGCACTTTTATAACTCATTACTCTAAACACACTTGTGATTATAAAAATACATAAAGTCAGAACGATTAAAAAAATATCCTCTTTTACTTGTATGGATTTACAAGGTTAGAACATTTTGCACTTTACATGTTTATAATTCATTGGTCTATACACATTTTTTATTATAAAAACACAAGAAGTCAAAACGATATACAAATATATTTTACTTGTATATGTTTACAAGGGTAGAATATGTTGCCTTTTACTTTTATAATTCATTAGTCTAAACACAGTTTTAACTATAAAACCATGGTTGTAGAAATCGAGATAATTGGCAATTAATCGTGGATTAATTGTTTGATGTTCTCCAATCGTCGAGGATTAGGGTATTAATCGGAAATTTAGGATTACTCAGCTTTTGCGGGATTAATCGGTCTTGGCAGGATTAATCGGTCAACAAAAGTTAAAAAAGTCGAAAAAGAAAGTCAAAAAAATGTCAAAAAATCATTTCTTTTTTTTACTCCAAAATTTTCAAATTTTCGAAATTTCAAATATAATACGAAAATGTTCATATTTTCAAATTTTCAAATTACAAATTTTCTTATTTTCTAATTTTGAAGTACTTGCTTTTCTTAAGATATAAAAATATTTGATTAATTTTAATATTTTATTAATAATTTATGGTCCCGAGTAATCCCCGCAAATACCGATTAATCTCTTAACATCCGTCGACCGTCGAGCAATTTTACAACCTTGATAAAAACATACATAGTCAAAACATATAAAGTTCACCAAAATTATTCTTGACGTATTGTTTTCAAACGTATGTATCTTCAGGAACCTAGGAGCTGCAAGACACACCTTGTGTGTGATGGAATAATACATTTCTTGTTTAAATGGTTGGCAGACATGTTAGGCCTTTTTGTTCCACTTTGACTTACGTTATGCAAAGCTTGTTTAAGTAGTTATCGTCTGTTAGATTGTCAACAATGTAATTCCTCATACAGGATTTATGGAAGAATGTAATGTAAGAATAAATCATTTTATTATTCAATATGTGTTGTTAATTGTGATCCAAAATATTTCATCGCAAACGCGACGTTTTCGCCGACAGTCAGGGTGTGACAATACAACATCCAAAGTACTTACCAAATCTCTTTTAAGCAACATTCTATATTTCCACATTCAATCGAGAAGGACTTTTGAATCTCTCTCTCATTCCTCTTCCTTTCGTGTCTTTCAACGAAACTTGGTGAAGGCAATGTCATGGTTTTCATTTGAACTATGGTCATTGAGGCTCTAGTGGCCCTTCACAACCACCATATAACTTCACTTATACAACAACCTCTTTCTTAAATATGTGTTGCTATGGTGGAGATAGAGGAGGAGGTTGTGTTGGCTATGAAAAATTTTGTTACAAGTAATCCAATGGAGTTTGTGGAAAAGCGATAATGGTAGTTTATGTAGGACGTAGGGTAAATGACAGAGGAGGCATTTCTGTCTATGATAGAGGGATATGGGATATGGTTGGCTAGGGGGTGAGGATGTAGATACAAATATACTTATTAAGAGTAAGGGAGATAAAGGGTAAAGAGAGGGGAGTGTAATTACAAAAATTGTCCTCGAGGTGTACTGTATTTTTCATATCTGGTCAAAGGGCATATTTTTCATTCTAAAAAAAAAACAAGTCAAACATAATATTTAAGTCCCAAAGGACCAATCATGCAAGAAAACGAAAACATGATGACCAGCAACGTAGCGTTTGTGATAGTTAACCTTAACGTGATACCTTTTGCAAACCACAAGCACCAATCGTGAAGTTTTGTATGACATCAACCGTCCTTCCTCATAACTAAAGCAAATATGTAACATCCCAAGACCAGATATACCTTATAAACCCTTGTTCTTTTAGTAATTGTCAAGTTTGGCCCTTATTTGAAAAAAGGTGGTAAATGAGTACGCTGGGCGTTCGCGTGTGTATGCTCAGCATACTCATGTGAATGTTTTTGACGTGGAAGCCACCTAGTATGCTAGGCATACCAGAGGGTACGTTGGGAATACTAGGCCCAGAGTAAAAACCCTAATTTAGGGTGTGTCCTTATTTAAAGGACGTGATGGTCTCATTTCTGGCCACCATTCCTAAACATCAACCCTCTCAAACCTAATTTCTCGTCCCTTGAGCTTGTGTGTCCATTTGTGAGCTATTAAGTGTTCTTGTGGTTTCTTTGGAGTGAAGAAGGAGCTTTGAAGAGGAACGAGTGGGAGTCCAAGCTTTTGATCTGAGCGTATCTATGGTTGGAGCTTCAGTTAGATGTATAAAGCTCAAAGCTTTCTCACCCTTTTGATTTGTGCATCATTTTAGTTCATTTTAGGGTTTTAGTCCCAAAGTTGGATGCTTTATGAGATATTGAGCTCCAAAGTTTATTATCAGCTCTTTTAAGTGTTTTTAGTGGTGTAGAGTCCTAAAAATCAATATTTGGACGTTTAAACCAACCCATGCATGAGATATGAGCATTCTTGAGAATAGAGAGTGATACTTTTGGTGTTTGTGACTTTATCAGCCATGCAAAGGCTTAAAGTCATAGACTTTATGGAGTATGAGCCTTTAAGGCGTCCAGATCTGAGATTTGAGCTAAGGTCTTAACAGATTAAGACCAAATGAGTAAGAAGAGCAAAATTGGGACGTACACTGAGCATAATCCCAGTACGCACAACGTAGGGTCAAGAATCCCAGATGCATACATGGCGATGGAGTGCGCCCAATGAAGAGGGCTGGTACACACGGCGTACGCACTGCCGTTGACTTTTAGTCGACTTTTAGGGTTTGGTTAATTTGTAGGCTATCAAGGCCATGGAAGGGTAAAATGGTATTTTATCCTTCTTTGAGTTTGTAGAAGGGTTTAGTCTAGCTTTTTTGAGAGCTATAATTAATAAGAGATAATTATTGTATGTGTTAGGCGGAGGCTAGACCGGTGATTTGAGTTCGAGGTTATCCGATTTCTTACGAGATGAGTCATCTCGTTATGTGTTTATATTGAGTATTGTGATATCATGCATTATGTCTTTGTGATTTATGATGCGTATTATTCTGAGCTTACTAAGTTAGGACCGAAGGGTCC